CTGTTCCTAAGAAAGTTTTCGGAGCCGTAGCAGAATGTGAGTAAGAAAGACCATGTAACGTTTGTGATTCTAATTTCAGGTTCGGCATTTGGAAATAGCTTGATTATGTAGTAAAGAATAGTTTGTCGCCTAGCTCTCCAAGTCTGTACCAACTTTCTGCCAACTCCGGAAAAACACGTGAAGCAGTGAAAATTGTATACGATTTCTTAAATTATCCTACTAACTCTAAATTCAAATGTCTTGATGTCACAATCAGATGCAATAAGGAGAAACTCCTTAATCTCGATGCGGACTATAGGGTGTAATTTAAAAGGAAAATATTTTCTGAGGAAAATATTTTCAACTACCATTATTATTATTNTTTTCCTCAGATGGCGCTAGCTGTATCGCAACAATAAGAACGCTGTTATGCAAATTAGGTGGTTGGAGGTGCAAAACATGGACAGTTGAGTCGTCTTCGGAAGTTATCCACTGCGTGAAAAAGCAGTGAAAATAGTTGTTTCCTAACGGCCCATTGGTTCAATGCTCATATATTACCGAAGCTTCGTACAATTTTGCCCGGAAAAAACAGCAGAACTCGAGAAACAACAGAACTTAGCACTTAAGAAATGGTGTTATGTAATTGATAAATTAAAATGAAGTAAAATGTCTAGGTTCATATCGAAACAGCGAATGAGTAATGGTTTAGAACAGGGGTTTCCAACTTACATCAAACACAAATCAAATGGCAGGCCGGAACTTTATCAAAATTTTATATAGGATTCTTTTATGTTTGAAGGCACATTAAATATTACTGTCAGATTTTTGCCAAATTGTACAAAACAAAAGTATTAAATTACAAATTAAAATTCGAAGTAGATTTTTAAAAATATTTAATTGCATATTAAAAAATTCGGGCTACAATAACTTTAATGTGCACCCATGTATTAAATAATTAATGTGCACCCATCTATTAAACAATTAATGTGCAACAGATATCTAATTGTTAAGATATAAAACTTTAAAAAGGATGGTATTAAAACTTACACAGTAGCACACAAAATGTTCAATGACAAAATTGAAGTTCATCTGCTGCAAACACTAGAGAATAGATATTTACATTTTAAATTTAAAATATTCAAATGTGTGTGTAAATATATTCGTCCAAAATGAGTGGTTACAAAAAGTTAAATCGGAGAATTTCTTCGAGAAAATTTCTGATACACACATGCTAAATTATGTTCACAAAATACAAAAAAAATTAAATAGAACAGAGATATTTACGATATTTATATACACGATTATTTTTGTATTTGAATAAATATTTTCTTTGATGCAAAACCTAAGAAATACTTTTTTTTGCACCGTTGGTGTGATAAATTTCACAGGAACGAAGAAATTAGATTTTTATTAACGAGAAAAGTATTTTAAACCCTTATAGATTTTTACGAAAATTGTCCGCAAAAAAATGACATCTAATATATTTTATCTAGCGGGCCACAAAAAAAAGGCTTCCCGGGCCCCCAGTTGGAAACCACTGGTTTAGAAGAAGATATTAGGAATGCACAAGCACATTGTTCCTGGTATTAGTCTTGCGATTTATTTATTTATGTTTCGTTTATCCATGTGGATGTTTATAATGAAATCTATTTTTCTATTCTGATGCATCTTGAATTGCAAAATTTGTATTAAAATCACTTTCTCCATTCGGCTGTTGCTGTTTATTCTTATCTTATAACCGTCGTTGAACCGCCAACCCAATTCTTGGGTTTACGCCTACTAATGTGCAACTGCGTGGCCTTGTAATTTTTTACCCGATTCAGAAGACAAGGGAACTTCTGGATCAAGTATTGGGGGAAATTTGTCTTCCTGGAGGACTTTTTGATGCAACTAACCCGCATTTGCGTTATATGGAGAGGAAGACCACGAGAACCTCTCGCGGTTAGCCTGATGACAAGGGGACTCTAACCCATGTTGTTGCTGTTGTCTTATGTCCTTTGTCAATACTGGCAAACTTATTTTAAGGCAGAGGGGTGCGCTTCTTCTTGTTTTCCAGTGGCGCCATCTATGGCTAAGAATTCAACTTATGCCACACATATAGGTCACAGTCCATTTTACAGGGAGGACACATTCACACACCATACATCTATCTGCAGATTGTAATTTTGACCAGAACAAGAGCACGATCTATCTCCAATCCAGTGCAACCAGAAGTATTGATTTGTTATGGGAACTTGCAGGACTCTGTGACCCCGCCAGATTTAGCGTATACCAGCCACAATTACTTCTTCCGGTCTAATATCTAGATATTGCTTTTACAGAAACTTAACAACTTCAAAACCGCCTTATTCTATTGTTAAAGTATAGATATAGGATAAAGTATAGTGCGCAAAAAGAAGGAGGAGCACCCTGAATAACTTTTTATCTTATGATCGAAAACGATATTTTAAGCTACGAAATTAGACCCAAAAACGTGCTTTCTCTGAAAAAATGTGATTTTTTAAAAACAGATTTGGATTCGCGATTCTCAAATGAAGTCAACGAAATCGGTCGAATAGCATCAGAGTTATTAAATTTTTAAAAAAATTTTATTCGACCGATTTCGTTCAAATTTTATATTTTGTCATTTAAAATTACTTTCTTAGAATTGTTGTAAGCATTTACGGACCTTACAATTCAAACTTTTTTCGACTATAATTAAGTAAAACAATAAAATATTATTAAAAAATATGTTCTGTATTTAAAAAATGCTGAACATTTTATTTACTCATTAGTGGAGTAGTGTGGTGTAAAAATGAATTGTGAATAAGTTTTTATCATTGTTAGTATATGGTATGAAAGTAATATAAAAATATTGAAGCACTTGAAATTCTAACTCCAAAAAGATTGTAGTTTGGGAAGGGGAGAGTAAAAAGAAGATATTGGTGATCGCAACACTCGAATACGCCATCTGGAGAGAGACCGGTTTCATGCTTTCAGCCCTTCTCCCTTCCCTCTCCTCCTCTTTTCAGTTGTATAGGAATGTACTACGCGATTTTTTAAAATTTCCGTAATACTTTTCCTTAGAACTATGTTTAATGTAGTTTTCAGTTCCATATAGTTTTCCAAATTAAAAGATTTTAATCTATATGAAAATCGAGAGAGAAACTAACGAAGTGTTGCCATAGGAAGAGAGTTCTGCTCTACGCCACCTGCAGCCCATTTCGATCGCCTTTAATGACTGCTATGTAGTTTAGTTGAGAGATTAGTTTTTTATTTTATTTTATTTACTTATTATTATTTTTTTTGTTGCTCTAAAAGGAGTAAAATCAATCCCAAGTCCTTTTTTTTCCTTCTTTTTCTAAGCACTAATAGCTTAGTTGTAATTCTATATGACTTATTGTTTAATATTTTAGTTTAAAGAATGTTTTATGTATCAAAAACGCATTTCTACATATACCAATTTGAACATCTGACATTAAATAGGCAATTAAGATATTATTTCGTATATATTCAATGTATACTAAGATTTTCGTTTTCAGTGAGAAAAAAATATAATTATTTTCATCAGTTTAGTCTCATATGAGTCCCGCAGTGGACTGATCGTTAAGACACGGTTCCCAGCAGATCACCGAAGTCAAGCATCACTGGCTGCGGTCAGTGTGCGGGTGGGTGACCACTTGGATCAGCTTGCGTTGGGACCGAGGGTATGCGGTATTGGTCCTCGTTAAACTGTGCTACCGTAAAGTGCTCGATTTCGCTCGCAGGTCGTGGGGCTACCGAAGCGGAGGTGCCATCCCCTCCGCAGAGGATCAAAATTGTGATGGCATGTCTTCGGATCATCCTCCGGGATGTTTCCCAGACCGTCACCAATAGCCCATTGTACAGCTCTAGTGCGACGTAAATTAACAACAACAACAAATAGTCTCATATGAGGATCGAAATTGTGATGACATGTCTTCGCATCATCCTCCGGGATGTTTCTCAGACCATCGCCAATAGCCCATTGTGCAGCTCTAGTGCGACGTAAATTAACAACAACAGTAACAACAACTAGTCTCATATGTGATATTTTACGAGCAGCGAAAACGGCCCCTAAGCTTCTTTTCACTTAGGAGCCAATCTTATTGAGAGTCGGTGGATCCCCTAAGGCTGGGTATTTGAATTGGATTGCACTGTCGACTTTCCCAATCATATTGTGTGGTTCGGAATCCAGACTTGTCTAAGGGTTCATTTACAGTGCATCAGATTTCTCTAAAAGATTGTGCGAATGCTTAAAAAAATGTGATTTCATGACCAGCGGTTCATGAATTTCCGATCACCATCAAAGGAATATGACAACCTAAATGGTGAAATGTACTTTTGAGCGGGTATCATTCCATTCTGCCATAAGGTGCTCGACTTTGCGCGCGGATCTAGAGATAACCAAAGCGCGAAAAACCTCTCCAATCTTCGTTTTAGGGTCATTCACAGTACATGCTAAAAGCTCGTACATGCGAATTCATCGATGCGAGCGGGAAACTGATTGGCGAATTTCTTTTTGATAAAGTGCAGTAATCCGATTCTCATTCGCAAATTCAAATTTGTACTATAGCAGCATTTTTAGCATGCAGAATGAATGCTACCTTTCTCTCAACGGTGATCGGAAGTGCAGCAATTAGAGAAGCGGCAATGCAAAATAGCCCCGTTGTTATACTGCTTGGGTACGCGTGAACTGCATTTACGTATCAACGCACATATATGCTTGGAACTATTTCTAAACGTCACTCCCACTGCTTAATATTCAATCTTTCCTGAGCAATTTTTCATTTTATAGCAAATTAACACGCTCTTGCAAAGGATCATTTTCAAATCACGCATTTCCGATTGTAGTTCAGAGAAATTGCAGTCCCTATGGCATGCAGTGAGAGAAAGCCTTTTCAAAGAACTCTTAAAAAAACAATTCAATTTTATTGTTTCTAAGAGATAGGCCTTATCTCAACAAAATTAATTTCAAGAGCAAAGGTTTAAAGTGAGGCTCTATTACCTAGTTCCGTTCTTGCAAACAGTTTACTAAATTCTATGTAGTTTTTCGAGTTTCGTTCCTAAAGTAACTTTAATGTGTCCGATTAACAAGACTTTTTAAAACTGCGTAAACTTTTTGAATTTATTGAGATATAATTGTGGAAAGGAAAGACGTGAATTGGTCTCTGGCTGATTTCTGGTGCATTTACAAATTTTGCCTGAATCATTATAATGGCGTCCACAACAAAAGATTCGAATGGTCCCGTTCCAATGGAGGAAGATGTAATATACTTGTATTTATTTGTTACTTTGACTTCCTACTTTAATTTGACAACACTTTTATTGATATGATGAAATTTGTAATTAAAGCAACTGTTACTGCTATGTATTGTTTTTCAATCTGTGCAAATGTAATTTTTCTGCCGTAATGTATTGTTTATTTATTCAAAATAACGAATAGTTTTCATTATGTACTACTACAGTATTCGCTTGAAGGGTGGTTTAGAGTGAAAATTGCTATCGACTTATACAGGCCTTCATTTTTAAAATAAGGTTAAGAAATTTGGCTCAACTTTAATCACTATCTTTTACTATCATTTCTTTATTACTTTTGAACTTTCTCTCTTAACCAAATTTGAATAATTTATTGTTTATTTACTAGTTGTTAAAAAATAAAATCAGGCTCTTTCGAAATTTGAATTTATCTTTTTATTTCTTTTTTGTTAAATATAATTGTAATTACGGCATTTAACTTATGAAGTTGCTACTGTAACACCTTGAACTTGATGAAAATGTATAGTTATTAACCTTTTTTTCAGTCTAAGGTTTTGTATTCTTCAATCAGTTGCTACCAATGATTTCACTTTTGAAGTCTTAACATATCTTGTTAGGAAGAGAAATCAAAATTGTAAAGCAATTAGAAACTACACTTCTAGCGGAAAAAAGCGCTATGCAGCAGGGGGCTGGTGCCCCCCCCCTGACGACGTCAGGTTTCCCTGTCATATTTCTCATTGTTTTTCTTTATTTGTGTCCAGTTAGGATGTTTCCCAGGTGGGTACAACAGATGCCCCCCAACATATTTATGCTGGCAGAATTAAACCAAACATTTTCCATTGAATTGAAACAAAGGAGAAAGTCAATTCCTCATAATACATATGAAGTAGGAAATCATATTTTAAACAGGGACCCATTTCAATTAGAAAGTTACTCAGAAATTCGGAAGTACATTAGCATTATCCGAAGTCTAACGGAAACACTGTGTTTATTAGATTAGTTGTATAAAACCCATAATCTTAAGTCTTAAGCATTTGATTCTGTTATTGGTTGAATTTTTATCTTAATAATTGTTTTATCATATTTACAATTTTATCTTATTTCATTCTCTTATAAATGCATAATAGTTTTGTTTAAAACTATTTAGTTATTATCATGTATTTTAGTAAAATGAATTATTAGCATGATTTGTTTGTTATTTTGATTTGTTTTTGTGTTGTTTGTTAGATATGACGAGTCCTTTTTTTGAACCTTGTGTTCAATTCAACTTTTTATAGATATGTGTTAATTGATATTATGCAAACAAGTATTGACTGGGGTAAAAAAGCAAAAGATGTTATGCCTTGTCACATAGGGAAAAAAATAATGTATTGGCTATTTTTATCAATTATTCATTCTTAATTATTCATTCAATGGTTCCAAGACTGCACTCTAGTAAGCTGCCTTCTTTATTTCAATATAATTCTCCTTTTTAACATATCATTTTTAAGATGTTTCCTTTTAAAATTGGCATGCCTTTATAAAATTAGAATATGTATTATAGATAAATAAGTAAAAAGGACGATACTGTTATAATTTATTCAATATATGTACAATCCTTAATTTTTTGTTTGTTTTGTTATTTAGGAAACTGTTGGAGAAGAGGTGCTTAGAATGGGCACTGATGAAATTATTAGTAGAACAAGGCTCATGGATAATGAGATAAAGGTAACTTCATTATATTATTGATTATGATTGTATAAGACATGCATTTTATCGATATATAGTGTTTTTTTTATTTGTTTTCAATTTTAACTTGTAGTTAGATCATATTTTTTGGCTTTAACTAATTATTTTACTTATCAATTATAATGACTTTTTGTTATTTTAATTAATCGGTATATATATGGCAAAATAAATGCTATATACAGTGTTCTTCCTAAGCGTGTTTAGAAGGACGCCCAGTCACACCTGCCCTTTGATTCCTATAAATGCCTCCTCATTGCCCTTTTTTAAAAAATAACCCCCCATCCCTTCAGAATACTGCCTTTTTATTTTATTTTTTAATGAGAAGATTGTATTCTTAATCTTCTGTTTTAATAGAAAGTCTTGTTCAGACTTTTTTAGTTATTGATAATTATTTAACTTCTAATTTCATTCCATAATTTTAGTAAGATTTTTCTTAGTCTAGTTATATAGTTAAAATTCACATGACATTCGGCCTAAGAGATATTCACATCTTTTATTTGGGGTATACTTATAAGTTTTTTTAGTTGTTATAAATTTTAGCATTATTTTTTTAAATAAATACCTTACATTTTAAAAAAAAAGCACCTTTAAATGTTTATTTTCTCATAAATTTTAGTTTGAAAAAAATCTTTCAAAGATTATCAATTAATCCTTATTTTAGTTTACTTTTTTTTGAAGAAAATTTATTCAGAAAATACCAAATGTTCGGCCAAATTACTATTGGTTACATCCCTACTATTATTAAAATAATTGAGCCTTATTTTAATAGTATTCATTTTTTAGATTTTTTTTTTTTTGTCAAACACAGTCTTCGCCTATTACAGTGCTCCATAAGCAGAGTTTTGTTTTAAATTGCAACTTTAACTGTTCATTCATTAATTTTAATATTGATTTCAATATTTGGAAGACTAATTAGCTCTAATTCCTTTGATGTACTGCTTACTAATTTAGTTATATTGTATTAAACTACTAAATTAAATTCAAATTTAGTTATTGATTCAAGCTATTAATTTACTTCTATTTATTTTTTTGTTTAACTATACTTTTAAACATATAAATACTTATTGCAATCTGAATAAATGTTTTTTAAACCAATTTCATCACTTAAAATAGATAGTATAAATATAATAATGATTAAATTTATGTTATGGTTCACTTTTTTCACTAGTAAGTTTTTTTTTTTTTTCTGCATCTTTTAGTTTTGATTTGTTGACTTTTTTTGAGCATCTGAGAATTTTTCAACGGCTTCTGTTGAAAATTTTATTATATCATTGATCCCATCAAATAAAATGATATTGTTGAACAATGTTGAGTTTCTTCAGTATTCTCCCTAAGCGTTTTTAGAAGGGGGATCCGCCCTATCAGCACTTTGATCATTATAAATGCGTCCTCTTTGCTCTTTTTGTAAAAATGAAGCCACCATCCCTTAAAAATGCTGCCTTTTTATTCATATTCAATTTATTAAAAAAATTTATTAACTGTTAACATAATAATTATAAATATTACAAATATTTAATAATAAATATTACAAATATTTAATAATAATTATTACAAATATTTAATAATAAATATTACAAATATTTACTTTGTTAGGATTATTCTCAATTCGTTAAATTTTTATATATTTTTTTCGAAGGGGTATAAATAAATTTTTTAAGGAATTTTAAAGTTATATTTTAAATAATACTTTTTTTTTTAAATGCACCTTTAAATATTTATATTTTAATAATTTTCTGTATAAATTATTAAAAAAAATCTTTTAAGCTGTTTATCAAAAAATAATTTTCATTAGTTTACTTTTTTTGAAAAGCAGAAATTTTCTTTTAGTATGCCTTTAAATATTATTTATAAAATACAAGTTTTTCTTTTATTTAAATAATGAGTGAAAATTACTTTTTGAAATAAATGCATAAAATAGTTTAAGTTTAAAATTGTTTAGGATCAAATTCAGTTTTTGCATGATATTTATGACACATTTTGATATATTTTTATGGTGTTAAGTGAGTGCCCTTTCAAAACTTAAAGTGCCCTTTTCTGTGCGGATGCACACTGTCCTTTTTTATTCCTAATGACTTGGGTTTCTTTACTGCATCATTTCTATGCAACTTTTACTACTTGCCAGATTTTTTCCCTGATTTAAAAGTGCAGTATAATGGAATAAATGTTTGAAATAGTAAGGGAAAAAATTCTGCATTGTTTTTTCAGATTGAAATAACATACAAAATTAAAAGTTCTGTGACTTATTTATTTTTTCTACAAAAATTTCTGAAAATAGTAGAATTTCTCAGAAACTCAAACCTTTATTACTGACCTTTTTGAATTATAATTATTATTTTTAATATTTTCTAACTTCATTCTCTCTCTTTCAGATTGTTAGTCATATTAATCTTTTCTGTGTTAACTTGTTTTATTATTTTTTTCAAGATTATGAAAAGTGAAGTCATGAGAATCTCCCATGAAATGCAAGCTCAGAAAGAAAAAATTAAAGAGAATAATGAAAAGATTAAAGTCAACAAAACTTTGCCTTATCTTGTTTCAAATGTCATTGAGGTAAGTACATTAATAAAACTGAATTTGATTGAACATATTTTTTTTTTAGCTTTAAGATGTCTTGACCCATATTTCGAATAATTTGTAAATTTTTTGTTAAAATTGACATTTATCAATTGACTTCAATTATATTTCCCCCTCCCCCCTAATCATTCTTTTGTATTTTCAAATATTGCTGAAAAGTTAGTTTTCTTTCTGTATTGTATGGTAAAAAAAGATGAAAAATTGTCTTATGTCCCAAATAAAATGCAACCCGGAAAAGCAAAATATGTACTAAGGAAAAAAGGTATGTTTATTGAACAAAACTTACATACAAGAAATATTAAGTTCTTGTCAATTGGAAAATTAAGCACGTTTAACAAGGTAATTGAAAACATGAATCAATATTCGTAGAAAAACATTTTTGATCTCTTCATCGATTTTTTCCTATAGTTCAGCATTAGATATCAGGAAATCAGCTTGCCCTACATTTTTAAAGCATAGTCCAGAGGTGACAAATCTGTACTTTTTGGGGGTAACATTCTTTTGGAAATCTTTCTCTCCACAAAAAACTCTTTAAAGAATCTATGGACAGTGGCCCTATCCTGTTGAAATAAAAGGCAAATAATTATAGTTTTAAAAAATAATAGTCATATATGTGCATATTTTGTGCTTTTTCATTTAATTGCATAATGATGGGTCCATCCTTATTTGTTAGTTATCGAATTTATAACTGATAAGAGTTCCAAGAATGTGTAACATGTTGACTAAATAAATGCTTAAGGATAATTCATTTCCATTCATCATATGAAGGCAAGAAAAAACAAAACTAAATTCCTTTAATTGCTATTAATATCATTGTTTCGAATAGTAACAATACAATTCTGGGGAAGGAACTTCTTTGATGGGTGCAAAATTTTTTATTTGAAATTTGAACTTCATCCTGCATTTGTGGTTTGACAGCTGTAAATCATGACTCACTTTGTCTTTGCTTTTTATGAATGCCTCCCATTTTCACCCTTTCAATGCTTGTTTTTTCTTAGGTTTTGCACTTGAAGGTGCAATGTTGAAATGTTGACCCATAATTTAATTGTCAACACCTGGGCTATGAACATAAAAAGTTTTTCATCATTTACCGCAATTGATTTCTACATGGCTTTTAAAGTTTCTGTATTTTTAATATGATATTATTTATTACTACACCCAAATTTTGAGTCTTGCGTTAAAGTAGTCACCTATTGACCCGTCCAATTCGAGTTAAATTCCGATTTCGACTTGTTTTTGTCCACAATCCACATGTTTTTGTCGTCGATCTTTTTTCTGCCAGTTGCTGCTACAAGTCTCATGCCGTTTAAGAAATTTTAAATACAAGTTCAATTTGCAGAATGTGAAAAATTCATTTTTTTAATTAACCTTTTTGTTTGCATTATTTTTATCACCCATGTCCATAGTATTTTATCATAATTATGTAACTTGTGTTCAAAAATGTTTTTGCTATTTGTTAATTTTTGTGTTAATGACCATATATATCTAGAACTTAGAACAATAGAATATGATTTATGAATGCCCTTTTGCTTGAACATGATTTTTTTTTAAAAATATATATTTGAAAAGTGCTTGAAAATGTTATCACTATTAACTGTAAAGTATTAAGTCATTTGCGAGAATATATGTATAAAAAATTCTTAATTCTTTATATTCCTATTGTAGAATCTTTTAAGAACTAATCCAAGGGTCTGTCTAGGTTTTTCTGTGAGGTACCTATTTTGTGAAAATTCAGACATAATTTGTGAAAATTAGAAATTATATTAAAAAATCAACACAATGTGGTAAAAATGTGGATTTATCGCTTTTTAAAGGATACAAAATAAAATTTTAGGAAAAAGTATTTTGTGAAAGTACTGTTTTTCTTAAAATTGAATTTGTAAAGGTACTGCTAAACGATAGTAAATTTGGCCTAGACAGACCCCTGTAATCATTTTATGTTTTTACCCTTAAATTTGTTAGCATTAAAATGTGATATATTCAAAGTTAGATGTTTTAAGCCATGGTTTTTAAACAAATTTTTTTATATTTTTAATTCAACTTCAGAATTTTAAAAAAAAAAAAGATTTAAGCTTTACCATTTTGAATGGATATACAATAGGACAATATTGAAAGGAGTTGACATGTAAGAGTCACAAGAAAAAGGATTAAACCTTTAAAGGAGATTTTTAAGGAAAAAATTATTTAAGGACTTTATTTTCTACAAATACTTTTAGTTTAAGTATTAATTTAATGAAAAGATGGTAATTTTTTCATAAAAATATTTATTATCTTGTGTTTATTTGCTAATGTAAGTCTGTGTTTCTTTAAATAGATATAAATGCTATGTATTTTTTAATGTTTACATATTATTGCTCCTTTGCAAAATTATGTTTATAAAGTGAATTAATTAAAAGTTAAGTAATTTTGTCTAAAAAAATTTTTAAAATAAAACAGACCATCACTTCCATTTTCTGATATCTTTTAAAATTATTTAAAAAATGAAATTTTAGATAAAGTTATGATCAAAAGTATCTGTTTTTAATCTTGTTATATAATTTATTTTGTTTACTAACTGCAATCAAAAGCATTAATGGGAATGAGGTGCTATTTTGTGTTTGATATTTTATTTTTCAGTTAATTTTTAGAATTTTTTTCTTTCATCCATCACAAGCAAATTTTTATTGTATGTTTTTATTAATGATTTTAATGTTTTCAAAATGCAACGCTTGTAGAAAAGAGCATAATTCACAAGCATTGAAAAATATTCAAAATTCTTTTAAAATTTTATTAATGTAATATTTTTTTGAAAGCTTTATTACAGCATTTTTAAAAAGTGCTTATTTTTGATTTACATTTTTTAAAAGCCCTTAAAGGTGCTTTTTTTTTTCCTGCCGTATCGATTGTCATTCTAAATTACAAAAAATACATGATTTTTCACGATTTTCTCTATAATATTTATCAGAAATTTTTTTTTCTTATGATTATATAAAAATTTAGAAAATATTTTTGAATTTTATTGATTTTATGTTTATAAATGAACTTAGAAAAAAAGAATTTTTATTACTGCAGAGAGCCTAATGTTTTTTTTGGAAAGTGATTAAAAATATTTTTTTAGTGTTTAAAAAGTACTTGTAAGGTGCTTATTTTTTGTTAAAAAATTTGCTTATGTTATGTACACCTGTATTATGTTAAAATATATCTCACAATATATCTTTGGATTCTGTATTTATTATTAAATCGTTATCACTAAAAAATCGTATGTATACAGCTGATATATTTTTATTTTTACAATGCCAGTCGTAAAAGGAAACATTAAAAGCATGTATATGGGGGACTGGTAAATGATGTTGTTTCGATGCATTTGTTATCAAGATTTTATTTTTAATCAATGTATTCACCCTCGTTAGCGACAATCTTTCAATGAGAGATCGAAATGGATAAAAAAAAATTGAGTTTTAAGACAAACGAATATTTAATGTGCCGGAACGACATTGCTTTCCGTATAATATATATTGCAAAGATTTTTTAAAAATTTCTTTGATAGAGTGTATTATTAAATTGTTTCATTATTTTTGTGTGTGTTTAATCAATTTCTTTCTTCTAGCTGCTAGATGTTGATCCTCAGGAACTGGGTGAAGAAGATGGAGCTAATGTTGATTTAGATTCACAACGTAAGGGAAAATGTGCCGTTATAAAAACCTCCACAAGACAGGTTAGAAATTTTTTTTTTAATGCAACTGAATGAGCAAGTTTTGATTTTAAATTATTTTTTGGCTTAAGCAGTATTACACATTAAAATTATTTTGGTAAATACCAAGATATTTGTAATATCACTTAAGAGAACTTTTAATTAAAATACCCCAAAAGTCAGGGAAAATGGATTAGTTAGAGTTTGAAGACAAATCTTTTTCTTTATCTCTGATAGAAAATAAAAGTGTCATGTTGTTATTTTATGTCTCAGAATGAGGTATAACTGGAAAATTAATAATAATATTTGTACCACCTGTTCAAAATTCAGAGGCATATGATAAAATCAGTCGTAAAAAGTCAGGGAATTATTGTTTTTTTACCTTGACTGTTTGTGGTATCCTCTTCTAACTATCCTTTTGATAATATGTGACTTCTTAACCAAATTGCTATGTTTCATGACAATGAATGACAATCTATTTTATTTGTAGCTGACTTTTCATGATTTATTCTTAAATTACGTAATTATAAAAATCATTTTTGAAAGCAACTTTAAATAATTTATTATTCATTTACATAATGTCTGTCTAATTTCATTTTTAATATAATTATTGTTTCTTATGAAAGAATTTTTAATTTTTATAATCCATTAAAAGCATGTAACAGTTAACATAAAACAATTAACTTTTTCCATTATTAGTGTTTCCCATTTAGTTTACTCTTATTTATTCATTTCTTTTTCTTCCCTATTATTAGACTTACTTTCTGCCAGTTATTGGTTTGATTGATGCTGAAAAGTTGAAGCCAGCAGATCTAGTAGTAAATATCTTTTTATATACATTATTTTTTTTCTCGTATGAGTTATTAAAAACTGCAATGCAATATTTAAACAGATGTCATTAAACTTTTTTTGCAAAACCTTCTATTTGCAGTAAAAATGTGTAAAAATAGTTTTTATTTCTAAGAATACGCATAAACTATGAATTAGATATTCTGAAGATTTGGAAGAAAAAAATTTTTTTTGCATGATTTGTTTTATCATATATGTTTTTTTTTTATAGTTTCAATTACCTCAAATAATCGAGGTTCGATTATAAATGGAAAACATATTTTCTTATGTTACTAAACATATTTCCATAAGACTAAACAATTTTGCAAATTACAACTTATTAAAATCAATTTTATTTTATTCTTCTCTTTTGTACACTCATGGAAATATTTGCTTTCCCCCCATCTTTAATGTAATAAATAAATATTTGTTGTACATGCTTGCTAATTTTTATTTTCCATTATTTATTTAGGGTGTCAACAAAGACTCTTACCTTATTCTAGAGACTTTGCCACAAGAGTAAGTTTCACTTTTTTTTCTTTTTTCAAAATATGAAATTACTCAGGAAGCATGGTTGATGAATAGATTGAAACTGTTTTAGGTATGATTCACGTGTCAAAGCCATGGAGGTTGATGAACGACCCACTGAACAATACAGTGATATTGGTGGCCTTGATAAACAAATACAAGAGGTATACCTTATCAAATTATTTCTTGTAATCATCATTCTTTGTTGCAATCAATAATTTTTATGCTGCGATACAAAGTTTGTCAGGGAGAACAAGATAAAGCTGGAATTGTCAAGATTTTTGATTTCTTAGTAAAAGTCCAGATATCTCTCTTTTCTCTCAAGATTTTTCTTCTTTTATATTTTCTATATATTTTTTCTTTCATGTTTTCCTTGTATTTTTAACTTATTTTATGGGTTCTGTGTGCTTGCAGCTTATGCACAGTAAATAAACTTTATTATTTTTCTTAATTTTCTTTGTATTCTTTTCTTCCCTCTTTATTGTGTTATATATAAGAGACAACTTCTTTCAAGACAAAATTTAAAAATTGCTTTTCTTTCACGTGTTTCGTATAAATGTTGAGACTTTATTTAGTTCCTTAACATACTGAAATAGTTATTCCTAATGATATTTATTTTTATAACAGTCTAAAATAATCTATTTTTTTTAATTTCTCGTTTTGTTTCATTTATTTTTTGTGGAATATTTGTCTATTTTTATGAAGTAAATTCTATCAAGTAAAAAATGTATTTTAACCTTTTTTCCCCTCTAATATCTTTCGTTTTCTTTGACATACATTTATCTATGCATGAGCATAACCTGTACTTTTCCCTACTTTTTGAGGAAAGTATTTTTCAGCAGCAGTGAAATAAATTAGTCTTTACAAGTTTTAGAGACAAGTTCAAGAGTTTTTATTTTTAGGGAAAATATTTAAAAACTTGTAAAAATTCCACAGATTGGTACCTTTGAATATTAGACTTTTAATGTTTTACTTTCAGTATTATTTAGAAAGTTTGTTCAAGTATATAATTTTCTTTTTGTAAATCTGGTTTTTATTAATTATTATTTGACCAAAAAGTGGGGACCACAATATTGATAATTAAAGATGCTAAGCTGTGACAGATGTTATGCTGCTATGTAGGTAATTGCGATATTATAGTAGTTGAAATCAAAAATTGGTTTGAAATTCCTACAAAACCAGTATTCAAATTTTTATAACCTTTTTTCATTAAACTGTGAAATTATAACATTGAAATTTTAAAATGTAGAATCTATTAAAAATATAAAGTAATATTCAACAATTTGTTGCACCTTGAAATGTACTGATTCAAAGTGTTCAAAATTTTTAATCATTTGACATTTCAAAATTATTTTTTAAAAATTCTTAACCAAGCTTATTCAGCACAAATGTCATTTCAAAGATTTGTTTAAAAGTTTATCAATATATAGTAAAAAGTTATAGAATTAATTTTTCCACAGAGAAAGTTATTTTATTTATTTTTTCAAATAAGAAAATGTGCTAAATTTCAGATGTTAAAATTATGAAGGAGAAAGAAAGAAAAAAAAAACTTATTAAAATAACTGAGCAATGAGTTTTGACTTCAAAACCTCTTATTATCTCTTTACTTTCAATATCTAGAAATACATTTTAAAAGATAAGCTGCATTATTATAAAGGGGGAAAATTAATAAAAAACTTACTAATTGTTTAAATTTATATTAAAAATTGTTTTAACAAAACTTTAATATTTCATTTTGAGATTGTTGTCATTATTTCAATATGCTCAAAACTAATCTTTAGGGCCTCCTTATTACTTGCTATAAAATTTTGTATGTATTTTGCAATTACGTAAAAAATTTATAATTTGTAACTTAGTTATAATTTATAAATTGAACACCAAGTCCCAGGTTGGGGTTTTGGTAGTTCTAAACTGATTGTGGACAGGACACATGGGTTTTACTGTCTTAAACTGTCCTAAACTCTTTTAAAGTGTCCAAAACCCTGAACATTTTTAGAAGGTAAAAATTTTATATGTGTAACCATTGTACACGTAATAATTACATATATTAATAAATATTTGATACTTTAACTTTAGTTTACTTTAAATTATTAAAGGAAAATAATATAATAGGAAAAAATTATATACTTTTTAAGCTGCACAATTCATCTAATAACAAAAGTGAATACTTATCCTTTAAATATGCTTTTAATACTGATAAATTATGTTTTTACATAAAGATAAATAGATTAAAATAATATATTAAAAATAATAATAAACTTTTTTAATAAAACAAACTTTTCTTCATTTTGTTTCTTGTTCAAAAATGAGTCTTTTATTTTTCCCATAATTTTTTTTTTAAATTGTGACATAATTTGAACAAAAGGATCTTGGAGAAGTTGAACAGTTTAAGACAGTTTTGGACATGACGGTTTAAACCGTGGATTAGTCCCAAAGTTGATAAAAATGTTCATTAATTAATTAGTAAATTAATGTTTCACTCAACTAATGAAAGGTAGTTCAGATTAAATTGAAGAACATTACAAAATATGAAAAACTTCATTTCTCACCCTCTACCGCTCTTTATTTAACATGTTAATAAAATTATACAATTTTAACAAATGTTTTGTATTTCAGTTAATTGAAGCTGTTGTACTTCCCATGACTCACAAAGAAAAATTTGAAAACTTAGGAATCCAACCACCAAAAGGTAGAGTTCTTACTTTATTTAATAAAATTTTATCTTCATTCAAATTTAGCTAATTTTTAACTCTTTTATCTCACTGAACGAGATAACTCCTCTTATAGGAATACTCACTGTGCTCTATTGTTGTATTAGCAAATATGGTTATTGATTGCAGTTGATTATTATTTTTTTACATTAAAATAAATTTCAAAGGAATTTGAGTTTTATTTCAATTATAGTGCTGTGGAGGAACTCTAATTACAGAGGGACAAAGGCACGTTATTTGCTGTGATGAAAGTATTAAATAACCTTATTTTTGGTATTTCGTAAATATTTATTTATTTGAATCTTAGTAAATTCTTTTACAGTAAACAGTAGTTTATAGTTCTAAAATTTGAGTAATCATGTGAAAAAGTAAAAATAATTGTCAAAAAAAAAATTGATTTTTTATTTAGAAAATGTGCATATTTACTTCCTACTTTTGGTGTGTCATTTATTTTACCATTACTATTTGCTAACTTTTGAAAGTTTCTCTCCAGTACATTAAAGATTCGAAGATTATGTTTTAAACAATTTTGTATTAAACAGTTTTTGAACATGTCTATGGAAAATTTATCAATTCCTTTTTTTGTTTTTCTACAAAAATTAACACATTTCAGTGATTCAACTAGACTTTGAAAACTACAAGTGCTTCGAACCCAGTACTTCCGAATTCTTTTTTTTTATTTAAAATGTTTTTTATGAAAAAATACAAATCTCTGATTTATTTAATATAGTACATGAATCATTAAATATGAATATTTTTTATGATAAAGAAAAAAAAATGGGATTTATTACTTAGTTATAATTTAAAAAGGAATTAAAACCAGAATTTCTACTTTAATTGTCCTTAAAAGATTGAAATCTAGATGCACTTAATTCTTTTTGACATGAGCTTTATTATTATGCTTATTTGATTATTTAGAGTGACACACTTCAATGAAAGTTGAATAGAATAAGTATGACTAATAACTGAATTATGTGTCTGTTAGTTGAATGCAAAAGAATTTAAAAATGAGAAAATTAATAACATTGTTAAAGCATTCTAAATCTTCACAAATTATAAAATTTTCTGTTAAATAAAATAAACTTGCACTTCAATTGGTGCTTTAAAAATTAAAATAAAATGCAGATAAAGGAAGGGGAAACGAAATCTCTGATTGTAAAAAATAAATTATCTTTGATATTAAGCTAACTTTAAATTCTCTACCTCATTATCCATCTATTATTTTTTTTATTTTTTATAAAGTTCAAACTGTTGATAGACAAAAGTTTTAAAGTTTAGTCTTTAAGACTCTTTAACGTTTAGTTTAATTTTGTCAGCCAGGCATGGTTTTTTGTCCAGAACAACCTGAAATAGAAAGAAAAAAAAACTAAAAATAACTAATGCAATTGTTTTGCGAATAACTAATACAATTGTTTTGTATTTTTCTGTTAAAATAAAACAAATAAAATTTAGTTTTGTAAGAAAGTTAAAACATTTTATTTATTTAAAAAAAAAATAGTTTCATACAATTTTTTTTAATGTTAACTTATTTTTATAGTTTAGGTTTAACTTAGCTTACTATTAATGGCACAGTAAAATAAATTTTAAATATACAGATTTTTTAACGATAAAATAGCTAAAAAAATTTTTTTTACCATGAAATTATAATATTTGTGAATCCTAAGCAGGATATTTTAAAGCTATTAAAGTGTAAAAAAAGAAATAATTTTTCTTTGCAATGGAATTTAAAACATTTGTAAATTTGCAAGTTTTGTCTTTTAAACTAAATTTTTAAATGTCTTTTAAACTAAACTATTTTAGAAACATACTTAACAAAGTTTTTTCTTTCTTTATAACTTTCAATTCAGAATATTAGAAAGGTTGTAAGGCTTTATAAATTGTTTTTAAATTTAAAATTCTTCATTAATTTATAAATGAATATTAAGTAGTTTGAATAAAAAGTCACAAATGAAAATTTTTACATTATATTTCATAAATTATATAATTATTAACTTCATGATTAAATATAAAAAAATAAAATATGTGTCAAAAACATCTATTTTCAAATATCTTTTGCATATTAAAAGTTTTTCAGCATATTCATGCATAACAGTATCAGCATATTCATGCATTTGATTATAAAATTAGTGTGTTATTTGTAAATATAATTTTTAATTTATTCTTATTTACAGGGGTCTGTCTAAAATTTTCTGAAAGGTACCTATTTTGTGAAAATTTAGACATAATTTGTGAAACTAAAAAATTATGTTAAAAAATCAACACAAAAATATGGATTTATCGCTTCTTATGGGATACAAAAATAAAATTTTAAGAAAAAGTATTTTGTGAAACTGCTGTTTTTCCTTAAGTTTAATTTGTGAAGGTACCACTAAACGGTAGTAAATTTGGCCTGGACAGACCCCTGATTTATAATATTTGTTTAGGATACTCAAGCAGTTTTTTTTATACAATTAAAAAATTAGTAATTAATATAATTGAACAAATTTTTTTTTATATTTCTTTACATAAAACTTGGAGAAAAAATAATTGTTTTAGTTTCTTAAAAAATTGATTAAATTATTTTTCTTTCCAATTGTTACTTTATAATATTCTCTTATTAATCTTAAAGTGATGTGTTAAATAGCTTATATATTACTCCTATTATCTAAACTAGATTGCAATTATTCTAAACTGTTTTAATCTTTGATAAATCTTATTCAAAAATGCATTCTTTTTATTTCTACTGCTTGGGTTGGAAGATAATCTATTATTTCTTGGGCTGTTTTTTTTTCCAAACTGGAAGAAAGTCGCCAATCTTTTTGCCATTTTTCAGAGTATTCATAAATAATAATTGCATATCTTTGTTACCTTGTTGTAGAAGGGGAATCCATAATTCCCTTAATTTGTTTTAAAACCAGCTCATTCTAAGATGCTTTTGCTACGTAAGATTGATTTTTAACTTTAAGTATTATGTAATTCTTTATTTAAATAATCAGTAGCCATTATTCAATAGATTAAAGTCTTTTCAAAATCTCATATTTTTCTATGCCTTGTTTGTGATTTATATTATAGCATGATTTTTTTCTTCTTGTTAGGTGTCCTTCTGTATGGTCCTCCTGGTACAGGAAAAACTCTAATGGCTAGAGCCTGCGCTGCTCAAACAAAATCAACTTTTCTTAAATTGGCTGGTCCACAGTTAGTTCAGATGTTTATTGGTGATGGTGCAAAACTAGTACGAGATGCATTTGCTCTAGCTAAAGAAAAGGCACCAGCTATTATATTCATTGATGAGTTAGATGCAATAGGTAGGCAGTGTCATTTTTCTGGCCCATATNGACAAGTGCAAGAGTTTTTATTTTTAGAGAAAATATTTAAAAACTTGTAAAAATTCCACAGATTGGTACCTTTAAATATTAGACTTTTAATGTTTTACTTTCAGTATTTTTTAGAAAGTTTGTTAAAGTATGTAATTTTCTTTTTGCTAGTGGGGAATTTTCTTTTAACTAGTGGGGACCACAATATTGATCATTAAAGGTGCAAAGCTGTGACAGGTGTTGTGCTACTATGTAGGTAATTGCGACACTATAGTAGTTAAAGCCAAAAATTGACTTGAAATTTCTACAAAACCAGTACTCATATTTTTATAACCATTTTTCATTAAACTGTGAAATTATAACATTGAAATTTTAAAATGTAGAATATATTAAAAATATTAAGATAAGGGGGTATTTAAGCAATTGTTGCACTAAGTAATTGTTGAATTGCAGCAATTGTTGAATTAAGTAATTCAGCAATTTGTTGCACCTTGAAATGTACTGATTTAAAGTGTTCAAAATTTTTAATCCTTTGACATTTTGAAATTAATTTTTATATGTTCTTAACCAACCTTATTCAACACAAATGTCATTCAAAGATTTTTTTAAAATTTAATCAATATATAGTAAAAAGTTATAAAATTAATTTTTCCACAGAGAAAATTATTTTTTTTTTCAATCAAGAATGTGAAAAAATTTAAAATGTTAAAATTCTGGGGATGAAAAAGTAAAAACAACTCATTAATAAATGAGCATTGACTTCAAAACCTCTTATCTCTTTACTCTCAATATCTCAAAATATATTTTGAAAAATAAACTGCATTGTTTTAAAGGAAAACAAATTAATAAAAACTTACTTATTGTTTAAATTTATATTAAAAATTGTTTTAACAAAACTTTAATATTTGATGCTGAGATTGGTGTCATTATTTCAATTTTCTGAAAACTAATCTTTAAGGCCTCCTTATTACTTGCTCCATGCTATAAAATTTTGTATGTATTTTGCTGTTGTGTTAAAAATTTATAATTTGTAACTTAGTTGTAATTTATAAATTGAACACCAAGTCCCAAAGTTGGAGTTTTGGACGTGCTTAACTGGTTTTGGACAGGGCACATGGGTTTTGCTGTTTTAAACTGTCCTAAACTCTCTTAAAGTGTCCAAAGCCTTGAATATTTTTAAAAGGTAAAAATTTTATTTGTGTAACCATTGTACACATAATAATTACATATATTAATAAATATTTGATACTTTTACTCTAGTTTACTTTTACTTTAGTTTACTTTTTTACTTTAAATTATTAAAGGAAAATAATATAATGTAATTTAATAGGAAAAGATTAATGACTTTTGAAGCTGCACAATTCACCTAATAACAAAAGTGAATACCTTATCCTTTAAATATGCTTTTAATACTAATAAATTATGTTTTTGCCTAATTATAAATAATGCAATATTAAAAATAATAATAAATTTTTTTAATAAAACATAAACTTGTCTTCATTTTGTTTCTTGTTCAAATATTAACATTTTATTTTACACATTATTTTTTTAAAATTGTGACATAATTTGAACAAAAGGATCTTGGAGAATTCGAACAAAAGGGTATTGGACAGAACGGTTTAAACCGTTGATTAATCCATTCTGTCCTAAACCTTGCCGAATTTGCCGAGCCCAATTTATTTTAATCCCAAAGTTGATGAAAATGTTCATTAATTAATTAGTAAATTAATGTTTCACCCAACTAATGAAAGGTGGTTCAAATTAAAATTGAAGAACATTACAAAATATGAAAAGCTTCATTTCACGTCTGTCTCACCCTCTACCACTCTTTTTTACCATGTTAATAAAATTATACAATTTTAACAAATGTTTTGTGTTTCAGTTAATTGAAGCTGTTGTTCTTCCCATGACTCACAAAGAAAAGTTTGAGAACTTAGGAATCCAACCACCAAAAGGTAGAGTTCTTACTTTTTTTATTCAAATTTTATCTTCATTCAAATTTACCCTATGAACTCTCTTATGTCAATGATTGAGATAACTCATCTTACAGGAATACTCGTTGCTCTCTGTTGTATTAGCAAATATGGTTATTGATTGCAATTTATTATTATTTTTTTACATTAAAATAATTTTTTTGAAAAAGGAATTTCAATTACAGTTGCTGCGGGGAAACTCTACATGTTATTGCTGTAATGAAATTATTAAATAACCATATTTTTGGTATTTCATAAATATTTATTTATTTAAATCTTAGTAAATTTTTTTTTAACCCAGTAAACAGTAGTTTATAGTTCTAAAATATAAGTGATGTAAGAAAATATGAATTGATATTAAAGAAAAAATTGATATTTTATTTAGAAAATTTGCATATTTACTTCCTACTTAAGGTGTGTCATTTATTTTACCATTACTATTTGATAACTTTTGAAAATTTCACTCCCCTGCAATAAAAATTCAAAGATTATGTTTCAGGCAATTTTATATTAAACAGTTTTTGAATATGTCTATGGAAAATTTATCAATTCTTATTTTTGTTTTTCTACAAAAATTAATATACGTTTCAGAGATTCAGCTAGAATTTGAAAACTACAAGTGCTTCGGACCCAGAACTTCTGAATTCTTTTTTTTATTTATTATTATTATTTTTTTTTTTTACTAAAAATGGTTCTTTATGAAAAAAATACAAATCTCAGATTTATTTAATACGGTACAAAGTTTTAAAGTTTAGTTCTTTAAGACTCTTTAACGTTTAGTTTAATTTTGTCAGCCAGGCATGGTTTTTTGTCCAGAACAACCTCCAATAGAAAGAAAGAATAAACAAGCTAAAAATAACTAATGCAATTGTTTTGTATTTTTCTGATAAAATAAAACAAATAAAATTAAGTCTTGTAAGAAAGTTAAAACATTTTATTTGAAAAAAAAAAAAAAGCACTAGTTTCATATTAATTGTAGTTTTATCATGAATTTTAAAACTTTTACTGTATTAAAACAATTAATTTGATTTTATATATTATTAGTTTTTTCTATATGCAAATTAATTATTATCTTATGTATCTAAATTATGTGTATTTATATTCAGAATAGAATTAATGTAAAAAGTACTCTTAAGATTTTTCTCAGCTGGTTAGATTTTTTTTTACAATTTTTTTAAATGTTAATTGATTTTTATAGTTTAGGTTTAACTTAGCTTACTATTTATGGCACAGTAAAATAAATTTTAAATATACAGATTTTTTAACAATAAAATAGCTAAAAATAATTTTTTACCATGAAATTATAATATTTGTGAATCCTAAGCAGGATATTTTAAAGCTGTTAAAGTGTAAAAAAATAAATAATTTTTACTTTGCAATGGAATTTAAAACATTTGTAAAGTTGTAAGTTTTGTCTTTTAAACTAAATTTTTAAATGTCTTTTAAACTAAATTTTTAAATGACTTTTAAACTAAACTATTTTAGAAACATACTTAACAAAGTTTTTTTTTTCTTTCTTCATAACTTTCAATTCAGAATATTAGAAAGGTTGTAAAGCTTTATAAATTGTTTTTAAATTTAAAATTCTTCATTAATTTATAAATGAATGTTAAGTAGTTTGAATAAAAAGTCACAGTTGAAAATTTTTACATTATATTTCATAAATTATAATTATTAACTTCATGATTAAATATAAAAAAATAAAATATGTGTTAAAAAGATCTATTTTCAAATACCTTTTGCATATTAACAGTTTTTCAGAGTATTCATACATAACAGTATTTGATTATAAAATTAGTGAGTTATTTATAAGTATAATTTTTAATTTATTAGTATTTACAGGGGTCTGTCTAAATTTTTCTGAGAGGTAACTATTTTGTGAAAATTTAGACATAATTAATGAAACTTAAAAATTATATTAAAAAATCAACACAAAAATATAGATTTATCGCTTCTTATGGGATACAAAAATAAAATTTTAAGAAAAAGTATTTTGTGAAATTACCATTTTTCTTAAGTTGAGTTTGTGAAGGTACCATTAAACGGTGGTAAATTTGGCCTGGACTGACCCCTGATTTATAATATTTGTTAATGATACTTAAGCAGTCTTTTTCATACAATTAAAAAATTAGTAATTAATATAATTAAACAAAGTTTTATTATATTTCTTTCCATGAAACTTGGAGAAAAAATAATTGTTTTTGTTTCTTAAAAAATTGATGAAATTATTTTTCTTTCCAATTGTTACTTTATAATATTCTCTTATTAATCTTAAAATAATGTGTTAAATAGCTTATATATTACTCCTATTATCTAAACTAGATTGCAATTATTCTAAACTGTTTTAATATTTGATAAATCTTGTTTAAAAATGCATTCTTTTTATTTCTACTGCTTGGGTTGGAAGATAATCTATTATTTCTGGGGCCATTATTCAATAGATTAAAGTCTTTTCAAAATCTCATATTTTTCTATGCCTTGTTTGTGATTTATATTATAGCATGATTTTTTTCTTCTTGTTAGGTGTCCTTCTGTATGGTCCTCCTGGTACAGGAAAAACTCTAATGGCTAGAGCCTGCGCCGCTCAGACAAAATCAACTTTTCTTAAATTGGCTGGTCCACAGTTAGTTCAGATGTTTATTGGTGATGGTGCAAAACTAGTACGAGATGCATTTGCTCTAGCTAAAGAAAAGGCACCAGCTATTATATTCATTGATGAGTTAGATGCAATAGGTAGGCAGTGTCATTTTTCTGGCCAATATACAATAAAACATTTAAAAAGCCATGTTAGCTGAGTGGTTAAGGCCCTCAACTGTCAATTTGAAGGGCTGTGTTCAATCTCTTGTGGTGGCCTAAAGTTCACCAGCTTCAGACCAATGGGTGCCAGCTTGTCTAGGTAGTTAAGGTGGCTTTTGCCCTATGCTGACCAAATTGCCACTAGGACTGGACCGTCTTAAGATTTTGACATCGTGATATATCGTCATGCTAACATCAAGATGTTTTGATAATTGATACATTAATGTTTTACATTTAGTACTGTGTAAATTCACACTTAGTAAGTTGCATTTTTTTTATAATAATTTCTCAATATTTCAAGGCGTGTATGTCTGCAAAATATCGGTTAAAAAACATTAAACAACTTGATTAGTTGTAAAAAATCAACAAGATTTGCATGCTCACAATTAAAAGAAAATCCTTCCATAACTAAGAGATTCAACAACACTTCGATTGTCAATCATATTCAGATTAATCATGTCAGCAAAAGGATGAGTCACGATGTAAGAAAGAGGGGGAAAGTTAATGATCATCGTCACAGCTATCACTGCACACTTACGGAGTGAAATGCTCTTTGCGCAAGCTTACAGGCATCTCAATATCGCGCGTGTAGACATTGATGTCAACGATACATTGTGAAATATCGTACACATTTCAATAAATCACAATTTCCGATTCNTGCAAAATTCACAGAAACTACCAGTTCTAAGCGGCATGCCGAAAGCTTGGTTGCCAAAATGTCATTCCGTCACACAAGTAAAAAGTTCATAAAATTAAAAATAAAAAAAATACAAAATTCTTTTTTTTTAGTTTATGAATCACATTATACCAATAATAATGATATGCATGAGAAAAAATCATGTTTATTTGAAATTAGATGCATAGAAACTTCAATTGATTGTCATCATGCAAGTCAAAATGTCATTCCGTCACATATGGAATAGCCCATATATATAATTTTTGGATATTACAAAAAAAGGCGACATTTACTATTATCAATAGTTTAAATTAAATGCTTTATTAAATATTCGATTTTTTATCAATAGTTTGAATTAATGCGATTAATATTTATTCTGCTCTGGTTTTCTCTTATAGTATTGAATTAAATGCTTTATTCTTTTATGCCAAATTTACTATGTTTTACTTTTGAAATGTATAAAGCAACCTGATAATTGAATTTTGTTTTAATTCTCCCCACTCTCAATTATGCAGTCAGTAGTTGCTTAGTTAACAAACGTTTTATTATTTTTTTTCTCTGTAAAATGTTAATCCTTTTTAAAAAAAAGAAAAAACTCAAACAATTTTCCCCCCATCATCTTAGGTACCAAGCGTTTTGATAGTGAAAAGGCTGGTGACAGAGAGGTTCAAAGAACTATGTTGGAACTCCTGAATCAACTTGATGGTTTTAGTTCAAGTACAGATATAAAGGTAAAGTTCAATCGCATTTTTTATACTGAATTATATGTTTATTTATTTGAATCTTCTGAATGAGTTTTATCCTATCTGGCAGAAAATAGCTAGGAACCTAGTGGTATATAATATTAGTATGATGTTAGTCCTCATTTTGCTTCGATGACAATTTGCACATGTCTGGGAATACTTTATACTAGTTTTTGATATGTGGCCATGGAAATTGACTTCCAGGTATCCATCATAGCTGAAATGAGAATGGTTGATTATGTAATTTCTGTTTTAATTTGTCTAAAAGGTGTTCAATTAAATTTAGATAATGGTTTTGAGAAGGCCAGTCCATTTTTAGAGCAACCATTTTGTCAAAGCATAGTTGAGCATGCCTCGGAGTGTGAATAGAGCAGTTATTCTGCTGGAAGTGAAATGGGCTTTCGGGGAAGTATGGCCGTAGAGTTGATAGAACAGCATAGTCCAGATCTCCCACATACAATTCAGAGTTCATGTTTTTTTCCACAGGGATCCTGACTAAACCATGAGAAACATTCCCATAACACCTTTTGTTCTAGACAGATCCTCTCCTTAAGGTGGGTATTAAGATTCTTTTGGCCATATATTGTATTTAAGAAGAAGAAAAAAAAGGAATCAAACTCTATCTTCCTATATTCCATAGACTATTAATAATTATTGTTGTTCATAGTTTTTTTAGCTTATCAATTAGTAATGATATTTTGTAATTTATTTTAGGTTATAGCAGCCACTAACAGAGTGGATATTCTAGACCCTGCCCTGCTAAGATCTGGCAGATTAGACAGAAAGATTGAATTCCCTCATCCAAATGAAGAAGCTAGAGCCAGAATCATGCAGATTCATTCCAGGAAAATGAATGTTGAGTAAGTGTTCACTCACATGGCAATTAACAGAGACACAATTCAGTTCCCATCAATCTTTGTATTTCTTGTGCAAATTATTGCTTTATTTTCCAATTTATCTTTTAAATGAAAAAAACTGAAGACCTTATTACAAGAAATGTAGCCTAATCCTTTTTACAAAAGTTAATTTTGGGTAAATAGTTATTAGAATTTCAAAAATTTCATTGTACTTCATTAAATAGTTACCTCAGTAAAATAATTCCATTTTCAAAATCTATTAATCTTGTTACAATTTTTTGTCTTTTGAAATATTTTGGTTTTTTATTTCCTTCCTTTATCATAATATTAAAATAAGTTATATTTTATTATTTTTCATTCTTAAATCAATAGTTTGTATTTAATAATAGTGTTATAATCTAATATTAAAGTAGTTTAATTCTCTTTTATTTTTATCAAGTATCCATTCAACGAATCTTTCAATAGAGAATCTGGGGTTAAATCATAGGTTATCACTTTTGCTAAAACACTCAGAAAAAAAAAAAGGTTTTTTCTTCATAAAATGTAAGCAACAAACTTGAGAAGTCACACCTCTCTTAAAAGTAATGGTAATAAATCAATAATAATTTAAAGTAAATTTTCATTACAATAAAAATTATGTAATGTAAAATCTAATCAGAATATAGGTCAGTATAAATGAACTTATAAGCTTTTTTCGTCTCAAATTATTTTATAAATGTTACCAGTTTTGCAGTTTAATAGTATATATTTTAATCTAGCTATTATTTTTGTTAAGGATAAATTTACTGTGATTTATTTATCTTTGATTCTTAATCAAAAGGGAAAATGACAGGCTTTGTTATGGCATATGATTGTTGTTATTGAATATTACATCAAAATTTTATCGTTTAAATGTAAGCTAAGGATGTCCAATTTTTCCACTTCCATATCCAAATATTTTTATGAGGTAAATTTTCATTTAACTCATTCACAGCTAGCCAAGTACAGATGATTATATGGTATCTATTAATGAAGAATGATGATCTATAAAGATAAAAACAAAATTAAATTATTATATGTTGCCACCATTCTTTTAAAATAACTATTAAGTTTATGCCAATAAACCATGTGTTATTGTTGAGAGAAAACATATTTTCTGCGTTAATAGTTGGATGATAATATGCATCCTGCTACCACTTCTGTTTTATTGACACTAAGTGAAAGGAAAAATTTACTCTAGTGCAGGATTGGCAGTGAAAGAGTTAATAATATTTGGTCTTACAGAACTTAATTATTAATAATTAATTAATTAAAAAGTATTGTAAATCGTAAAATAATTTTTTAGCCAAAACATTACTTTAAATGGCAAAATTAGGTGGATGTTAATAGAAGTATCAAAAGAGTTTTATTGTAAGATTAAATAAATACTTTGAAATATTGAATTGTTGTTCTTTATCAAATTAAATTTTAAAAAATTATATTTGGGACAAAGATTCAATATATAATTTTCTCTTGCATTTTTATGATTATTTAATATTTATATTTGTAATTAAAGCATTCAATTTTTTAATGATTTTGTTTTAAGTGTATAAAAAAGATTGTAATCTGTTTATTTAAATTATGTATTAGGTATTTATTCTGAGAGTCATAAATTAATAATTCCTCTTTCTGATCAATTCAAAACAATGTTATCTAACAGTACAAACAATTTTATGTTATTTATTTCCAAAAATATACATTTCAAAAATACATTTCAAATATACAAAAATATACATTTCCAAAAATTTTATAAAAGGAAAAATATAAGATAATGTTGAAAATTATTGATTGGCTTTTCTTTAAAAAAAAAATGTTTGAATCAAGGTAAGTCTTTTTGTCAGAATTTCGTTTATTTTAGATTTAATGATTACAGCACGATTCATATTCAGATATTTAAAAATTTTGTATCTAGAATCATTTTCATGCAATTTAAGATTTGCGCATCAGTTATATATCTCAATTCATGTTCACATTATAATGTGCATTCCTGCACTTTAAAAATCAGGCATCATGATTTTTTATTAGAACGTTTATAATATTCTAAAGGAGACTTTCTACATACTTTTTTCTCTCTCTAATTTTAGGTATTTTTTTATTTATTTAAAATGCATTTAGTTTGTTACATTTTTAAATTTATATTTTCAGCTATCGGTTTTTAACCAAACTTATCCATGTTAAATATGTTGAATGATAAGTTCTAATTTATACTTATCTAATTTTAGCCCTGATGTTAATTTTGAAGAGTTAGCGAGGTGCACTGATGATTTTAATGGAGCTCAATGCAAAGCAGTTTGTGTGGAGGCTGTAAGTTTGTTAAAATATTTCTCTAAGTTCCTATTGTGGTTATACTCATAAATTTACATTATTTATTTCAATGTTTAACCAACTCTGATTTAGTTTGGTTAATTATTTTGTTTTTACTATGGTTAATTATTTTGTTTGTATGTAAAAATGATATAACAGTTAAAAATTAGTAAATGAGCTGTTATGGGCATATGTACATGTAATTTTCTTAGCATTATATTAATTTAAATCTGCTATTCCATTATTTCTTCAAAAATAATAATTTGCAATTAAGTTATGCCTTAAAGAAGATTTAGGTACAAAAATTCATCTCAACAACAACATGAATTACATGTTTCCTTTAGGTTTTCTCTAACTAGTATTTTTACAACAAATACTTAAAAACTGAAATGTATGCAGTGTTCTCCCTAAATGTTTTTCGAAGGGCATCCCATGTTCACCATCCTTTTGATCCCTATTAATGTGCCCTATTTGTAAAAATAAGCCGCCATCCCTTAAGAACAATGCTTTTTATTATATTTTTTCAGGAAAACGTTTTATTGAACATCTGTTTTAATGAAAAGTCCATTTCTGATTTATTCAGTTATTGATAATTATTTAATCTTTAATTTCATTCCATCATTTTTGTTTCTAATGTTCAGTTATATAGTTAAAATTCAGCCCCAGAGATATTCACATCTTTTATTTGGGTGGTATATTTATAAGTTTTTTAGTGATTAGATTTCACCAATATCAGTGGGTGAAAAGGTTTAGTGCTCAGAAAAACGAAAGTGTGAATCATAGAAAATTTCTGGCAATTAGGGTGATTAGAATTAACATGACGGAGCAAAGAGACTGCAAAATGTTTACGATAAGCAGAGGTGGAAAAATTAACAGATTATATGGAACTAGCTACAAGAACACCTAAAAAAAGGTAAATTAAAATTAATTTCCGCATCTAAAGTAAATTGAATGTCGGGGATTACCCGAGTTGACAAGAGAAAGTAACTCTTGAAGAGCTATATAGTAGGGCCGGGATAGCCTGGTTGGTAGGGCACTGGGCCCATGTCCAAGAAGTCGTGGGTTCGATCCCCGCGTAGTAAATGGTGATGTATGCATGTTAAATCTATCGACTCTCAAAGTCCTCCATGTTCCCATAACAAATCATACCTCTGAGGGTACTACTGATCCAGCAGTTTCCTTGTCTTCTGGATTGGTTCAAAATTATAAGGCTACGGAGTTGAACATTAGTAGTCGTAAGCCCAAAAACTGGGTCAACTGTTCAATGGCGGATATAAAAAAAAATAATAGGAACATATCATAAACATAGCTTTAAACAATTAATAGCACATTCGTGAAAAGAGAAATAACATCAAGGAGAGCATAGTTTTGTTAGAGGGGAAGAGATGTGCTGGAAGGGAAATAAAATCATGGGAATTTTTAATAGTATATATATTGTTGGAAGTTAGAGTGAAATGATATGTGTTAAACAGTGAGCAAGATAATAGCACGGGATGGAAGTTTGAGACAACAGGTCTAAAAGCAAGTTAAGGCTAGTGAATTTGAAGAAGAGCATAGAAGCAAGCACAATCTGAAATAGAAGGAATAACATTTAGTGTAGTCTGAAAGAGGTCAAGTACTTTTTATTTTATTCTTAATAGCAGTAGAATGAGAAGAGGTAGGTTCAGATATTAAATTGTGTAAGGTTCATAGGCTAGTACAGTGGTTCCCAACCTTTTGTGGACCATCGCCCCCCTATTGGGGTTGGCTGACACATATCGCCCTTTCTCTTTTTGCTCAATTCATTGTTGTTTGTGAGCAACCAAACACGGAAAATATGCTAAGTTATTTGATTTTAATTTAAATTGTAATGCAAATAAGGAGGCACATTTATCCTATCATTTTTATTAATTAAAAAAAATTGTGCATCTTTTTTTTTTTTTCAATAAGAAATGATATTTAAAATGGAATAATCAAAACAAAAGTACATTTTTTTTTAAAATTCATATTTTAATGTAATCAAGAGAAAGTTAAAACGTTAACAACTAAAATTTGAGAAAAAAATGAAGTGTGAGAAAGTACATTTTCACCACTTCAATGACTGCCCTGTGCTTGGTGTATTTCAAGTTAAAGCTTGAATGTCAGATTTTATTAGGATAATATTTATATTATAATATTATCTTTATATTAGATCTTAAATAAGATTATCTTAATTAAGATTATGCTCGATAATATTTATCGAGCATAATCTTAATTTATTAAGATAAATTAAGATTATGCTCGTCAGATTTAAATGAGGGTCTCCTTTGAAGCAAATGTCCAACCTATCTCTTTGCTTTGTGAGCAGCTGGAAGACAGAACTAAATCCTCTCTCCACTAAATATGTTGATGGGAACGAGATGAGAAGTGGCTCAGTTTGTTTCCTCAATTGTGGATAAGTGTCCATAAACTTTATCCAAACTAACTCGTAACCGTATTTTTTAAAGACGACTTTAGCCTCACAGTCATACTTCAAAACTAAAACCTCAGTCTACAAAGAGGAAGTGAGCTTATCCACAACTTCAAAAGAGAAAGGATCGAAAATTCAATCCGGAATTTCTAATTTCATCAAATCTTTAAATCTTGATTCCATAACTGATCAAGGTAATCAGTAAAAATTAAGATTTTATTTTCGAGAATCTCGATGTCTGCCATTGAACACTTTTTAAAAGTTGGAAATTACATTAGCTCTTTGCGATCAATGTTTGACTTGTAGATATCAAACTTGGCGATGAATGAAGATATGATTCCCTTATCCTTGATAATGTTCATTTTATTTCCTTGAAGTTTAACGTTGATTTCCTTCATTTTTTTCAAAACTATCAGTGAGGTACGCAGTTTCCAACTTGCGTTGCTTCAAACTCTCACTTAAAACAGGATCAGTGGTGTCGAGAAACTCAGTAACCGAATCCAGCAATTCGAAGAAACGGCTCAGTTTCCTTTTGAAAGCCATCTCACAGCGGTATGTAGGAGCAGGAGTTCGAAATCTTCATCATTTTCATGGCAAAGTTCTCGGAACAAACGGTTATTAGGAGAATTAGCTTCTATTTTACTAATGCCAGAAATAACTAATTTTTCGCCGCCAAAAGTTGACGATGAATGACATAAAGAATGGTGAGATAACTTCCGGTACTTCTTTTTTAAGGTGACCCAGAAACCCAGTATGACAACCAGACATGGTTGGAGCACTATCTGGTTGCACAAACACTTACATTTGTGAGGGGAATTTCGTTTTCCTCAAAATAATCTTTGACCAATTCAAAAATCGACAATCCTTTTATATCTGTGTTCAAAGTTCTTGTAAACAACATTTCCTCGTTAATCTCCTTACTCTCATTTATGAATCTCACTTAAGCTAAAATAACTTTGTTATCTATCACAGTTGATTCATCAATCTGTAACGCAAATTTACCTTCTTTCAAAAATTTGATGAGTTTTGATTCAACGTTGGCGGCCATCTCGTCAATACGCCTGGAAACAGTATTATTGCTCAGAGGAACAGAGTGGCTTATCAAATTTCCGCCTGCGATACCAAAATGTATGATGAAAACGATCCTGCACTTGATTTTTTTTTTTTAATTTTTAACTATCATAATTCTTTGTCTACGCCAGAACCATAAGTTTCATACATATTTTCAATTTCAATCTCAAATAGCTTTTGTTATTAATATTATTAGCAATTTTTATCTTTTGAATATACGTCGCCCTCTGATCACCCCCCTAAGGATAATCGCCCCCTTTAAAAGCTCTATCGCCCCCTTTGGGGCGATCGCCCCCAGGTTGGGAACCACTGGGCTGGTATATCCTCATCATGATTATAGTAATTAGATTTGTTGAGAATAAGTCCACCCTCTTTTACCTGCTTTGGTAATGAAAATTTCAAAATGAGAATTGAGTTCATGAATAACTTGTTTTTAAGAGTAGGTGAGATTAGATTTATTTAAGTGTTTATTTGAAGAAATAGTGTTCGAAATTAAGTCTCAGGGAGAATAAATTTGACCAGAAGAAAATTTATTCGCTCAAATGTTGATTCTAATGAGGCAATAATAGTTAAAAATTTGGAACTAGCTGCAAAATTTAAGCCTAAATTAAAGACTCCTTGTGTCTTACTAAAATTAGATTACCAAAAGAATTATGGGTAATGGTTTGACATTCGGGTGCAATTGTTCATTAACTGAAATCAGATTATTCAATTTTACTTAAGCCTAGTTTTGTTTTTCCCAAGTACTATACTGAGGAAAAGGATTGGCAAGGGTTAAATGCATGTTGAAAAGCTCTCTCAATATCAAATAAACGTTTACAAATATGTTGAATAATAGCACATAGAAAAGCCGATTCGCACCTGTTAACAATCCTATCAACACGATAAGAGTTATTAATGCTACATTTGATTTGAGCAAAATTAGGAACGACTAATGATAGGAATAAAAACAAAAATTCCTAATGATAAAGAAAACACGATCGTTATTCTGACATTAATCTAATAACAATTTCTACTGCTATTTCTAAATTTTCAGTTCCCATTAATAATGCACCATTAAAATCAACATTTAAGCGAGTAAATTTTCTTCTGGTCAAATTGATACTCTCTGACATTTAATTTGAACACCTCTTCTTCAAAGAAACACTTTCTAATTGTTCTGTGATGTTCACTAGCCTCAACTTGCTTTTAGACCTATAGTCTGGAATATTGATACGGATGCTATAAACTTGCTCGCTATTTAGCATGTATCATCTCACCTCTGACTTCCAGCAATACTGTTAAAAATTCCCATGATTTTGTTTCTCAACTAGCATAGCTTTCCCCTTTCAATAAAACTATGCTTTTTTATATTTATCTTTTCACTATTGTTTCATTTCTTGTGCTATTGATTGTTTAAGAACTATGTTTGCAATAATTAATTTTACTACTATATTATTGAAATTGAAGATATTATATCCCTTGTCAATTCCTGTATTCAGCAAACTTTTTAATTCAGTAATTCTGAATTACTCAACTTTTTAATTCAGTTAACTAATTCCTATAAACAAATTGAGGTTTATTTTAGCCAAGGGCAATCCCATATCTCTCATTGTGATAGATTCATGCATTATTTTGATGATACATTTGTCTTCATAGGTAGTGATATTGCTTTTCAAGAGTTGCTTTTTGTTGTCATCTCAATTGACCCAGTCATTCAATATACTTTTTTTTTTTTTAATGTTCCTGTAATTAAATACTCTGATCATTTTTTCAACATTAAACATCTGTAAACATTTTGCTGGTTCTTTACCCCCTCATGTAAGTTCATCCTGATTTTCAGAAAAATATCTGCATTTCATTCTTTTGTTTTCCACCTTTGTGCCTATTTCTGAACTTAACTTTCTATGCTCACTTGCTGCTAACAATGAATTTAACTCTTTTATAGTTGATTCAGCTCATGCTAAACTCATTAGAACCAAATATCCCTCTTATCCTTGCAGAGAACTTGCTACTTTACCGGGGGTGTTTTTTTCTTCCATTTTTAGGCCTGTTAACAAAATTTAATTTAAGTCTCTTAAAGATCCTATCAGTTTTGATAATCCCTAATGCATTCACCACATTCCTTGGCTACTTCCTGCTATCATATCTTCCTGTTATCAAGAATACGAAAAATTGTCAATTGCTGCACATTGTTCGAATCTTGGGCATAAATTCAATTCAGACAATGCCAAAATTATTTCCAATGCAGTCATTTTGATGCCCTGGGATCATGTTTATTCATATGGATTCTGATTCCTTTGTTAACGTCATTAATTCCTCACCACATGTTCATAGCTTGTAGAAATGCATTTTACCTTGAGTTTTTAATAAAGTAATATATATACTGCTTACTAGTATTCGTTTTTTTGCTGCAAGCATTTAAAACTTATGTAATAGTATTGATGGATGCTAAATTAAATTATTATTAAAGACTGTTACACTGCATGAATCTACAACTTTTATAAAGTACAAAGTTGTTTTAAGAAATATGAAAACCTAAGTGATTAATAAAGATATGAAATTAATTACTTTCTTTTTATCGCTTATCATTAAAATGGTTATTTTTGTTTAGGGTATGATTGCTTTAAGAAGGGGTGCAACTGTTGTTACTCATGAAGATTTTATGGATGCTATTCTAGAAGTGCAAGCCAAGAAGAAGGCAAACCTGAACTATTATGCATAACTTTTTCTCATTCTTAAACTGTTTATAGGAAGTTGCATTATTTATAAATTAAAGTCTCATTGTTTCTTAACTTTCAAATAAAAGATGTTATTTTAAGTGTTTATAAATCATGTCTATGAGTCAATGTACTAACCAGGAATTTTACTTCATTGGTTTTTAAACCATCTTGTTAGTGTCTGATTTCAAATTTATGCAATTATAATTATACTGTGTAGTTTTTACTATTTGAATCTTCACTATTTGAGTTTTTGATACTTACAAATTGGTGAGAAATAAATCAGTTTAGCTTGTAAATAGCGCACAACGCTTACAAAAAATTACTACAATCGAACCTTGTTAACGCAAAATCAGCGGGTCTATCATAATTATTTCATGTTAACAGAATTTCGTTTTATCCCATACATATAGCTGCCCATTCTACTGGATTTTCCAAGTTTTTCCAGGTCTACTGGTTTAATTAAAAGTCTCCTAGTTTTTGTACATTTTAGAAAATTCCCTAAAAGTGAGTAAGTCTCCTAAAAAAATCCCTATTGAAGCGAATTTTTGTACGGATTATTGCGTGCTTGAATATCTTATAAGTATTACTAACACATAATGATGCAAAACTGATTTATAGAAATCAGTTCAAAACTTTTTTTGTTCTAAAATGTTCAGTTTATTTTTATTCAGAACTCTCTTTTTAAATTAAAAAAAAATATGTTAATTATCTTTGATGAATTAAATACCTATTAACATTCGAAATTATGAGTATACATAATACATAACATTTCAAGTATGTTTAATGTCAATCATAACTGAAAAATATTACAATTTATCTATTTTGAAGACTATGAAAATCCCGATGCGTAGACAAATTAGACATTATGCAACAATTTACTGGATTTTTTCCTATCCATCTTGGCAGCAACATGAGAACAATTTATTTTGTACTATTAATACATGTAATGTACTATATTAATGTATACAAACAATTCTATTATGAACTAAACAAATTAAAATGAGCTTTAAAGTTATAACTACTTTATTTAACTATTTTATTTGCCCATCTGTTACTCCTAACAGATGGGCAAATAAATCCCTTTATTTTTATTCAGAACTCTCTTTTTAAATTAATTTTTAAAAAATCTTTTAACTATCTTTGATGAATTAAATTCATATTATTCGAAATTATGCTCAAACATAATACATAAAATTTCAAGTATGTTTAATGTCAATCATAACTGGAAAATATTGCAGTTTCTCTATTTTGACTATAAAAAAATTCCTTATGTGTAAAATATTAATTCAGTACATTCAATAATTATCATTAAAATTTATATTATTTCATAAAATCAACTGTTTTTTTTCCCGTATCTATTTTGGCAGCTATGATTATTTTAATTATGGATCCTTAAATGAGCGACCTACTTAACAGCGAAATTCGATTCGACCAGCCATCGGTGGTATTCGAGCTCTCTATCACCTGAGCCACCACGTCTCTCATTTCTGTTTTTTAAGTGTTTTCAAAATAAAGAACTTTATTATTGGTTTATACGTTCACGATAAAATTAATTAGACTTTATTTATGAAGTCTGAGTTCCGTCGAAAGAAAGTTGATTTTTAGGCACCGGTAGTTGAGAAAAAAAAAAAATATATATATATATATATAGGAACAGCGGAGGTATTATATGTAACTAAACTACGAAAGCCAGCTATGGCTATGGACTTCACGGGTCAAAGTTATTCAAATTGCTTGCTCTAGTCCTTTTACAATTATACTTGTAAACTATCACTAAATGTAAACACTGCTGGAATCTTGCTGGCATCGCAATAAGCAGTCTTGCTTTTAAAGGCTGGCAAGTGACTGCTTTCTGACATCATCCAAACTTTGTAGATAAAAAGCAAAGTTACCCTAGTTGACGGTATTATATTTTCGAGACTATATTAAATAGCAGGGCTCGAAAAAACTCAGAAATTTTACCCGTCCCAGAGGACGGCACGTCCAACAATGTACCAGTCCTCCTTTGATAATAAAAATATAATTTTCTCTCATTTATTACAAACATTTATATAAATTGCGCAATGAATTAGTAGTTACTAGGATTACAAATATTAGAATTACAATATACAGTAATAAAAGAAATACTATGTTACTAGTAGTAACCTAGTATTTCTTTTATGAAATAATTTAAATGACAAAGGTCAATTTATCCGAGAGTAATGCATTTTTTAAATGAATCAAATATGACGTTTGCCAGTTCCACAATCAAACCAATGATTTACAGAGGTTTCTGCACAGAAATCTGAAAGGGGTTTTCCATTTAGGTAGATGTTCATAATTGCGTTTAACGCTCCTTGTTTANATGTTCATAATTGCGTTTAACGCTTCTTGTTTAAGACCAGTACGTAATGTGTTTTTTTGTAAGTTCATTGCTGAAAACCCCCTTTCAACCGCTGCAGTACTCCCAGACAGAGAAAACATCAATTCCACCATGCTCAGTATGCTGCTGTATTTCTAGATTAGAGGGTCATTTTAGAAGTGAGGCGCTAGACTCTAGTACGATAATAAAAACTGAAAATGTCGGATCGCGGACGTCGGATTTGAAAAATTCGTTGTCCGCGGAGAATTTTTGACCGCCGAGGACGGGCAGTTTTTCGAGCCCTGTTAAATAGCATAGCTACGAGAGTTTCAAATCTTAGTAACACAAAATATAAAAACTTTTTCTTTTAACCGTAGTTTCTATTGCCATTAAAAGTGTTCTGTATATATATATATATATATATATTCATTAATAAATTTCAATTACTAGGATTATTTGATCTATAAATATTTCTCGATTTTAAGCCGCAGCATTATACACAATCGAGTTATTTTGCATACACTTGTTATCTTTATTTGCAAATTGCATTTAAGATTTTTGTAAACAAAAATGAGAAAGCGAAAAAGTTTTTTGGTGCTATAATATGAGATCAAAGTGTATGGAATTTATATATTTACAATAAATAAAATATTCTACTAATTTATATATTTACTGTAAATAAAATTGTATATTGCTTACCTAATTATCTTAAAATTGCCAAGAACATGTTCTATTCTAGAATACTCATTTCAAAAATAATCTAATTGTCATAGCATCGCTTTGCATTCAGAGGTCTCCCTGAAAATAAGAAAGGGCACTAATCTTGGTAATTATATCTAGTTAGATTAGTGCCCTTCAAATCATTTAAAAATACACAAATAAATAGGAGAAATAATATATTAACTAAGTCAAAAATATTTTGCAGTATGGCAATCTCAAATTTCTGGTTTCTGCTACTGCAATTGCTATTCTTAAAATAAAAAAAGAGCATTTTTTCTACTGAATAAAAAGGAGACAACATTTTTACAAAAATAGTGTATTTACCTCGATGAAAGGGGAAGACATTCTTTTAAAATCACTTTGAGAACGCTGTTACATCACATGTTAAGAGATTATTTAATAAATATATGCTAACAGTGGTGTTCGTTTGATCCCCGTAACTCTGAATGTGTATTTTAATGGTTGCCTTGTTTAATATTATCCAAGCATTAATATGAAAGATAAAAAAAATTTCGTTGATTTGCGATCTTCTTTTTTTAAAATATAAGAATGATACTTCTTCAAATTCACCGTTTCTGAGGTTTCGTCTTTTCTGAAATGTTTTTGAACTCATTGCATAGGTTACACAGTAAATTCATCTCCACATTAAATAATTAGAATTTTTTTTTCTCTTTTGCATTCTGCTTGGTTTTTTTTCACTTCAGTTTAATTTACCTTAAGAACTTAATATTAAAAGTTATTTTTTCTCTTTTTTTTCTTCTTTTGTTTGGCACAGTATAATCACATTTGATACTTATGAAACTCTAAATTCAATCCATCAAGTTCCAAATCTGTCGAATCATTTAATAAAATATGTTATAATACAACGCTCATGTTCTAGAGCGGAGCAGAGTTGGCCGTTGATTACAGTAATCGAATACAACTGTAATTGATTACAGATAATTACAGCTATGTAATCAATTACTTGTAATCACGATTACAAGTAATCAATTACTTGTAATCGTGATTACAACTTTCAAAAAATTTTGATTACAGCTGTAATCATGATACAATTTTGATTACAGTAATCAATCACTTGTAATCACGATTACAAGTAATCAATTACTTGTAATCGTGATTACAACTTTCAAAAAATTTTGATTACAGCTGTCAAATTGAAAACAATTTTGATTACAGTAATCAATTACTTGTAATCACGATTACAAGTAATCAATTACTTGTAATCGTGATTACAACTTTCAAAAAATTTTGATTACAGCTGTAATCATGATTACAATTTTGATTACAGTAATCAATTACTTGTAATCATGATTACAAGTAATTGCGATTACAAGTAATCACAACAAAAACGATTACAAGTAATTATGATTACAAGTAATCAAAATATATGATTACATGTAATCATGATTACATGTAATTTGATTACATGTAATTGTGATTACTTGTAATCAAACTATACGATTACAAGTTATTACGATTGTATACTATAGTCAAATTTTTTATGTAAGTATTCATGTGTTTACATATTTTTATGTACATAGAATGTACGCACGCATGAACGTACAATTTGCGATTCCTATACATACAATGTATGCACAAACGTTGTTTGTACGTACAATATTCATAATTATATTGTAATATACTTAATGCAATGCGCATATGCTTAGTACATATAATTATGCATTTATGATACATGTACGCATGTATGTTAGTTTGTACAAAAAGGCAATGTTTTGTATCTTTGTATACATAGACGTTGTATGTATGAACGTATATGAAAATAATGTTTATGCGTTTGCATGCTTTTATGTACTTAAGTACACATATTGTATACATTTACGATAATAGCGAGTATATACAATGTACGTATGTATATAAAATTATACGTATTTACGTACAATATGTAAGAATGTTATTTAAAGGTGCAATATATGCACATAGTTGCGTAAATAAAATGCGTACATGTATACATGCATATTTATATGTACATCGATATATGTGCACGCAAAATATGTACAACTTACGTATGTACTTGTATAACTACATACTTTGTTAATACTTATGCGCATGTAATGCATGGAAGTACAAAAAAATAGTTATATGCACAATGTACGCATGTACATACAACGTATACATGTACATAATTACAAGTAATGTGCAAATACATGCGTACATTTAAATATATGTAATTACCAGAGCCCGGAAGTTCAGGCAAAATGCCATAAATGCCCTTTTCTGCCTTTTTTAAATGTTTTCTACTGAAAATGCCTTTTTCTTTCCTTTTGTTCATAAATGCCTATTTCTGTCAAATTTAAAATTTTTCTGCAAAGCTTTTTGTGCTTTTGACCGAACATAAACGCAAAATGAAGAAATTTTGAAGTACAGAAATGGTTGACTGTCATCCGACGTATCGTAATGCATTTATAGAGATTAGGACTTATTCCTTTGGTCTTATTAATATTTCCTCTCCGTCTCTTCGTGGCGTCACCTTCGTCGTGGCGTCAGAAAACGTGGCGTCACCTTCGCCTGATGCGCTTTGCAAGGAGAGAGAGAAAGGGAGTGAAAAGATTGGAGTTATTTTTACTTACAGTCAATAGGAGTTATTTTTACTTACAACCAATAGAATTTATTCTTACTTACGGCCCATATAGCCTACACCATCGAATAACTCGTATGCTCTCTTATCTACAAAACGAATTCACCAAGCTAGTTGAGCACATTGTAACAGGAGCACGAAAAAGTTTTCTAGTACTAGTTATTTCAAAAATGCCTAAAGTAAAAGCCTGCAAAGAAAAAAACTGGACAGTTTTGTGAAAGAGTTTGGGTCGGATGTGTTTTCTACTGATGGGAGCATTCTATTTTGTAAGGCATGCTAGAAGTCAGTAAATTTTGAGAAGTATTTTATATCTCGGCACTTGGAGACATCTCAGCATAAAACAGCAAAAGATAAAAAAGCTGAGAAAACACCGACTCTGATTCCCACCTGTTTTCAATTATCTTCTCGCAAATCGGAATTTGCAATGTATTTATGCAGATCATTTGTAGATGCCGGCATTCCGCTGTGGAAACTTGAAAATAAAAGCACACGAGCTTTTTTGCAAAAATATACGAATCAAAGTGTGCCCTGTGAATCAACTTTAAGGAAAACTTATTTAGATGACTGTTACACCGAAATTCTTAAAACTATTCAAAATGAAATCGGAACGAAAAACATATGGCTATCTATAGATGAAACGACAGATGTAACTGGACGATATGTTGCGAATGTTATTGTTGGTGTTATGGAGCAATTTGAAAAACATAAAATCTTTTTGTTGACATCTGAACAGTTGCAAAAGACTGACAGTACTACAATTGCACAGTTGTTCACTAATGCACTGGCTTTACTTTGGCCAAATGGTACTGAGCATGAAAGAGTGCTATTATTTCTTACAGATGCAGCCTCCTACATGAAAAAAGCTGGAAATGCCTTAAAATTTGTTTTTCCTAATATGATCCATCTAACGTGCCTTGCTCATGCATTGCACACGATAGCAGAGGAAGTAAGAGGTCTCTATCCTGAGGTAGACTCACTTGTTTCTAGTGTGAAAAAAGTATTTATGAAAGCCCCTTCAAGAGTTAAAGTGCTCAAAGAAATTGCACCAGACATTCAATTACCTCCTAAACCGATCCTTACGAGATGGGGAACATGGATTTCAGCAGTCTCATACTACTGCACAAATTTTGAGGAAGTTACTCGAGTCCTTACCAGCTTTTCGGATGAAGAGGCAATATCCATAAGAAAAAGTAAAAATCTGCTTAGCAGTTCTAAAAT